TAGGGAAACAGCTTGCCATCAGCTTCCTATGAACTCACCTCTTTTGTAGGTACAGCATTTATTCTAGTATTGGAAATGAGCTCAACTTCCTGGATGACTTTATGAGCTTGTTCAGATTATTTTAGTTCTTCACTATTCAGAAAAGACATCTGATGGGGGCAAATGGGAGGCAGAATTTCCTTGCTTCTCAATAATTAAGAATGATTCATTAGCAGTGACCTTTTCTGAACCATGCATAGACTTCTCCTAATCCTTAAATTTGCTTTCAGTCTCAACTATTTTCTCTTCAAGAGATTCTGCTCTTGAGCAAGTGCAGGTTTTTCTCTCGTCTTAGACTTCAAGGAGTTTACAGAAACAGTAACATTATCTGTGCTATTACTCAGGGAATTTGTTGGAGACAGGTATGGTACAGCCTTCAAAGACTACCTCTTGCATATACATTTCAGAAATAGATTCAGATTTTCTGCTATTGTGAGACTGTTCCGTTGAACTCAATTAATTCAAACTGTAGAACGTAGCGAAACTAAACCCCAGTGAGAGACGCTAATTTAATGGATGAGGATCTATATCCAAGATCTTCATTTCAAACTTTTGATTGTATTTTATCCTGACTTCCATTTCACAATAAGGACAGGAAGAAAGCGTTTGTTACTCAGTCACCATCTGGGTCAGTAAATATTCTTGTGAGAGATGCTTTCTGTTGATTTATGTAGTTACAATCACAAATTAGGCCTCCCAGGTGGAGTATGTGCTTCTCTATTTTATTAGAATGGTGCAAGGACTGAATTTATTCTATAACGTATTCCAAATCTGCCTGAACGGAGGTTGACAGAAATTGCTCAGCTGCCCTAGAGACACCACTCCAACTAATCCCTAATAGCCAGGCAAAGTCTTGAGATGTTTTAGAAGCGCTGCTGCCTACAAGCTAAAATTTTAAGAATAGGCATTTTGCCAGCAGTTTAGGTCATAGAAAAATATTCTTAAGTCCCTTAAGGAAAACTAACAGAATTCTGCAGTCATTGCTTCTATATCCTGCAACATAAAGCCCAAGCAAGGCGCAAGGCGAGCAGAAGCCACCTGGGAGCCTGGTGCAGCCCGGAGCCGGGCTCGGCACGCCGCAGTGCTGGCAGCGCAGCCGCCCGCGCTCCGCCACCCGTCTGATGGTGCTTCGCACGATGGGCTCTGCCGGCAAGGCGCACCCGGCTGGGTACCGCGTCAGGCGCTGCGAGCTGGCACGCTCAGAAAAATGAATCCTCCTGCATCAGAGAGGGCAAACGCTTATTCTGCAGAAACTGACTTCAAGCTGTTTGGTTTCGCCACCAAAAAGCACTTATCACATATTTCTGCTCCGCGAACTTAGGTTTCTTCATCAGCGCAAGGTACAACGTGAAGAAGCGGCAAAGCGTGCACAAGTCCTGTCTGCACGTCATCCAGCGATACAACCCCAGCTTTTCTCGCTCGGCCGACGGCGCTGCCAGATTTCCCCATGTGTTACAAGATTCTAAACGGGTCTCTCAAAAAACCAAGACTCCAGCTACAGAGCTTAGGTTGAAGGGCACATAGTTTGGAATGGGGCCCTGCGAGGGGTCTTAAATCGATTCCACATGAGCAGAAGACGCAAGCACCGCACCGCACTGTTAGGTAGAAGCTGCAAGGCACACAGCAACACACGAGGCGGGCAGGAAAATGAGGAAAATTTAGCAGGAGGGAAATCCGGGATTAACACACCGAAACCAACATCACAACAGAAGAGGCCAATTTTTTACCCCTCCTCCTCTTCACCCACTCTGTATGGCAGGATTATCGTTGTACCAGAGATCAGGCACCATCCCAGCACATGCTGAGCCTTCTCCCAGGAGCAGGGTGCTGGGGAAGAGGGCTGACAGCTTGCTCAGGACAGCAGCAGGGAAACAGGACAGTGACAAGAGCAAAGGCAGGCAGAGGCAGTCCCTTCCCTCCTTTTAAAAGCGGTCGTTACCATGCTGGAAAAACACAGCAGCTCGGAGGCCCTGACACCCTAACTCACCTCACTCCGCGAGCCT